TAAAACACAAAGCTTCCATGCTATCCAAGCAGACACTGAATTTTGGTTTCTAGGAAATTTAGCTATTGTTTCTAAATCTCCTTTCTATACATCTTCTAGCACCAAAATTGAAAAGTTCAAGTGCTTCTCCAGAGAAAAAAAAAATCCCAGAATAAGTTAGCATATACAGTTCTAAAGGAGAATTTAGATCTTTCATGAAAATGTGACCTAGTTATTTAGAATATTCTAAGAAAACCACCAGGAGGCAACTGTTTATTGATGTTTCCCATGTACAATTGTAAATGTATATTTACCAGGGGAGAAATTCTGAGGTACATTATTTTCTCTTCAATTACTTGAAGAAATGACTAAAATTCTCTACCTTGTGTTGGGTGTATTTTAAGTTGATGTCAAGAATTTCAGAAAAATATTTGCCCCTCTTTCTCCTTGGCTATTTCAAAATAAATCCAGAAGTATGAATTCTGAAAAAAAATAGCTAAAAAGAAAAAGAGAAACAAAAGGGAAAAAAAAAGCTCACTAGATTGGACACTAGAGCATCTGTCTGAGAGCTGGCGTGTCCCTGCCCTTTCCAATTTCTGTTGCTTGGTTTGCTGTTCCTGGAGATGAAAATGTTTCCCACCATGTAATGTGGAGCTGAGGACAGTGAGATCATATTTCTGACTGCAAATTATACATGGACTAATAAGATACCCTTTAACTTTTCAAGGTTTTCAGAATTATTGCCAGTATGACTTTCATAGAAATAATGCAATATCAAGAATATCCAGAGGCTCAGAACAAGCTAATATACAACTGATATTTTCTGTTAAATTCTGTAATGTATTTGTACAATGAAGATTTAATTTTTAGGTATTTAATCTTGTTTATGGCTTTTGTTTCATTCTGTGTTTAGCCCTCTTTGTTTACACATTGAGATGGTATGATAGGATGCCACTGAAATATTAACTTGTTAAAATAAATAATTGATTTGCACATGGTTTTAAACATATCTTTTAAAAATGTAAGCATTGTCTGATTTAAAGAAAATAAATCTTCCTCTGTATTTGGATATGTTTCCTTGTCAACATCCAAAGGCCTTTTATCTCTCCCTAAGACTTAGGTTTCTCCAGTTTCCAAAATGGTAATTATGCCACAATTCTCACAAAATGGTTCACTTGCAAATTTATTGGCCTATCCAAGTTTGGGGAACTTTTGAATTGCAGTTGCTATTTTTTCAGGCCTAAAAAGCTAATGACTTTCATTCATTTTATGTTGTTATACGTGACAACAGTAGCTATCATTATGTCACAGTGTCAGTGTCACTAGGTAATCTATCAGTCTCAAATGATAAACTAAACTACTTATATAAAATCTCAATCTGGAAAATAAAGTTATCCTAGAGATCACTAAGCTTAAATTTCAGTTGTTGAATTAAGAATACTTTAAAATATATACAGTAGTATACAAATATTCTTTGGATTTTACTTGGGCCTAAGTCATTTCCTCCAAGGTAGCTCAACAGAAGAGTAAGAAGGCCTTTGTTAGGAGGGTATAATGGAAGCATGGTGCAGTCAACGTTTACACAGAGGGCATTTTTCCAGATGTTCCTTTTGAATCTTTGGATCTCTCACTAGAACAGGAAGTGCTGCCTATTGCAAAGAATAGCACCTCCTAATATGGATTTCTTAATGTTAATTGGTATAAAATGAGACATGGGGAAGGAGGGAGGAAAGCTCTCTGGTAAAATAAATTGGGAAAAAATTATACTAAAACAGAACCAAAGAGGTTATAGGATACCTGAGAACATACAGTATGCTAGAAATGTACAATGTGAGGAGAATACATTGTATGGAATGTATGTAATTTTTCAATGAAACATGTCTTGAGAGATTATGCTGTAAAACCTCTTTTCCTTTTATTCACTGCAAATTTGATCATTACTAAATTTCATGTCTTCTCAAATTTCTTTCATGAAGCCATCCCCAACACACTCAGCTAGAAGTCATCACTAGTCCTGTAGCATATTACTGTGCTCTTAGGGCCTTTAGAATCCTCATTTTTGGGGTGGGACACAGATTGTGGTTTTGTTCTCCACTAAGCTAATGTATCTTAAGACAATGGAGCAATCACTTTTCACCTGATTTATACAGCACTCCCGCTTAGAACTTTGTAGGAACTCAGTAAATTCTTATGAAGGACAAATTCCACTATCTCAAGGATTGATGATTTCAAGGATTCCCCTGGAAAATAATAGATGTGTCTCTACCCATTTGAGCATGAGTAAATAGATTTTTAAATTTTCATTTGTATAGGTACATGTTTGCAGTACTTAATTCCCTTCATTGTGGGGAATTGGTTACTTCTACATGGCACATCTTAATCCTCTGAAGGCCCCTTCTCTCCTCTTCCTCCCCCTCCTTCCATTTCTTGATTTTTTATGTTTAAGTTAATCTTTATGATTAATTAAATACTGTTCTTGAGGGACAAGAGTAAGTAATTCACTAGAGCCCAAATTTGTAACTAAAAAGAATTCAAAAAGAACAAGAGTCATGTAAGGTTGTTTGAATTAACTTTTATATTAAAATTGCAGTAAAATATCTCATTTGACAAGCAGATGTGACATTCTAGGAAACCCTTCAAGACCCTCCACAGACACCATGATTACTGGGAACAGACCACCTTGGGGTCATTAATAAGAATGTTAAGGCCTTCGAGCAGTCGCTGAGCGGAAAGGCCTGAATGACTTCTTCTTCTCATATAAAATGATTGTTCCTGACGATACCTACAAAGAAGAATACATCAGTACCACAAAGCTAGAGATCTTGCCTCCAAATCCACCGTTTGCATTCAAACATAAATGATTCTTTCTCAATAAATTCCATGTCTGCTTTTTAATGTATATTATTAATAGTCATGTGATTACTAAAATGTTTAAAAGTTCAGAAATATAAATTTTGTATTTAAATTCTACTACACTGGGGACTGGAGGAGATGTCAGTTCATTGAAGAGTCCTCAGTCCTGGGGATTATGAGTTCTTCTGAGAGATTTTCATTGTGACAGTCTTGATCTCTGTGTATTCATAGATACCTTCTTCACCCCTAGAGGGACAGAAAAAGTTATCCATAAACATGGTAATACAATTATGTAATAGTCCCTGATTTAATATAAGTATGTTCTCCTTTATCTAGGGACCATGGGAAATATTTTCTATTTACATTGAAGCTAGCCAAATATAAGCTGGTTCTACATAACTCTCCTGTGGAAAAAAATTCTTTAAAATATCTTTCTTTTAAAATAATTACATACCTCTAGTTGATTTTCATAGAAATTTTTCATTTTTTACATTATTCTGCTTAACTATAAAAGCTCCAGCTACTCAAAAGATAATTCAACCCAACAAGAATTTTATCATTCTTCATTTAGATTTAGAGAAAGAAGATTGCTTTAGTACAAGAGAAGTTGCAGTAATTATCACTCAAGGGTAGTTCCATGAAATTGTAAACCGAGGTCGAGCCTGCATGTACCATGTGCTCCTGGCAGAGAACAGGTGAGGGTAGAAAAGGACCATGCTGTCATCTTCATTCTAAGGTGTTCTGAATCTTTGCAGCTGAAGTTTTACCAATATTTTTGATTCTTGGTAAAATAAAAACTTAACCATTATTTTTGAAATTTTGTTTCTTTTCTGATGGCTTATATGTTTTCTTTTTAGAAAGGAAAGAAGTTAAGAGATGGGCATAATTGCAGCCTTTTTGTTTTTTTACAAATATTGATGTATTGCCATTATACAGCCTCCTCTATCCTGTGCCATTTGCTTCTACAACTCTTAAATCCACCTCGAATGATCCTCAATTAATGTGAGTCAATATGCTTGCATTCTGTTCCCTGTTGTCAGATTTATACCTCCTACCAGTTTTGGAAACTATGATTTCCCTTTACTGAGGACACAGCAAGGTCTGAGCTTAGTTATTTTCTATATCGTTTTGATGAGAAGATCAAATTATGCACAAGACTGTGTTTAAAATCATAACACCTACACACATTTAGGTTTACAGAGGAATATGATCTCGGTATTTTTCTTCTCCTCCTTTCTTGTCATGTAAGTAAGTATGAAGAAGACACCTTTTTCTCCTGAGAAACCTAATTCTCTCACTGATATTTCCTTGAGCAATTAAGCTTTTGAAGATACATCCTAAAAGCTTTAGTAAGCATATTCTTCAATGTAATTAAAGGGTTTAGATGCAGAGAGTATTCAGTAAAAATATTTTTATCTTCCAGAATTAGATAAAGTAACTCATGATTTTCACCAATAGGCTTTCCATCAGATTTTGGCTTACAAGGGCACTTGAAACTCTCAGGAGAATAATGAGTGTGATTATTGTCACACTCAGGCTGAAACAGATCCTTCTCCTCAGGATCTCTATGCATATATGTATTATATCCACGATAGAACAAAGAACATATGTTTGCTTTTATCTTTATCTTATTAAGTCTATGAGTTACTAGGTCTGTGCTTCTGAAATCCTCAGTTTACGAATCATTTGGAACCTTATTCTAAAGCTGATTATGATTCACTCCACTGGAATGAAGTCTGATACTGCATTTCTACTACAGGCCCACATAATGCTCATGCTGTTCATCCAAGGCACACATTATAAGTAAAGAGGTCCTCGTAACGAGTTCTGTCTGGTTTTCCCTCTGTGCCTAGGAAGGAATTTTTTACTAATTAAGCAGACACAGAGGACATCTGAACTCTTGTGTAAGCACAGTTGTTTATATTTCCTTTCTCTTCTTTTGAAAGGGAAAACAAAACAAAATAACCTTGTGAGATACTGAGATGCAATTAAATGTGAATGTCTTACCAGGCAAGTCTCATGTGATCGGATGTTCACATTTGTGAAAATCAGTGCAGTTACCCAAAGGAGGGATTTGTAGTAATTAACCCATTCCAGTGCCTACACTATGATCAGTTTCAAAAGTTAAGCTTTGGTTACTCAGTGTTACCACTGGACATGTTTGGAGTGCACACCACTATTGGCGTCTTTTTGTGGACTCTTCCCCACTGATGAATTCTGATTTCCACCTTTGAGGGTAAATTGTAATTCAGTTATAGGGGGTTGTTTGAGGGTATTGCATCAGTGATTGTCTTTAAATCTCTTTCAACTAATAACTTCTTAAGTTCATCAAATTTATTCAGCAAATGCTCACAATAACATTCTGAGCTGTAATTTTTGGAGGACAAAATGTATTCAACAAAAGTGATATTTTGTCTACTTTGGTTATTTTATCTCTCTTGATTATTTTATCAACATTCCCAGGGAAATGTGTTATCAAGAGGCAGGACAGCATTGAATTACCAACCCTGGAAAGTAATCTAATCATACTCATATCTATTTATACAAAGCAATTTGTTTTGCCAAGGAATTCTCCAGTAATGAATATTATATAGAAAAAAACTAGAGAAGGAAAATTATCATTTTAAGTCCTCACTTTAAGTCAGTTATAAGGCTAGTGATTGAATATTGCATATGTAATTTAATTCTCATATCATCTTAGGAGGAATACTAACATCTTTATTTTAAACATGAGGATACAGAGGCTAAGAATTTGGACAACTAGAACCGGGCCACATTGTAGGCTAGTGATGGAGTCAGGACTCAGATGCAGGCCAGCCAGCCTTCCAGTATGTTTGCTCCACTGTCTCGGCACGTCTTATCATTCACGACTGTCTATGGACGCAGCACCATTCTAAGGATGGCCGTGGGTTTTCACCACTCCATTAATAAGATCCAAGCCAATTTTCTTGGATTCAGGACATCTTAATCTGGATCATATTTCACCTTAAAGCCCTGTGTCCCTAACTTCATGAAGTATGAACTTGCAGTCTGTTAATTAATTCACATCGCATTTGGACGTTTTGAACTATATCTTTTCACATACTCCTCCTGCCACTATAGTTGTATAGATGAAAAGCAGTGTCGTATGTCTAGGACTCATAGACCCTTATCATAGCAAGTAGGTAATGAATGTATACTGAGAAAGTGGACAGGTCATTGTAACATTCCTCCATTTCTCTGCTTCCCCAAAAGTTTTTATTTCATTGTGATTTTACTCATTAAGTAAATTACAATGTTTATAGCTATATTAATACAGTCATGGTCTTTCAAAACTGAGACTCATTTTACTTGCTGTTAACAAAATGTGAAGCTTTATTTTGTTTGATTCTGTAGTTTGCATATGATGCATCTTGTTTCTTGATTAATTTTTGTTTATTATGAAATATAAAATATTCTAATAAATAAAATTATTGACATACTTGAGCATAATTAACCAAATAAAGTGCCATACTTCTTATGTATACAGATGCATGTGCAGATTAAAAATTCTACATACCTTGCTTTCAAAAGGAACTAAAAGCTCATAAATACAGTTATGTGTAAATATTCTTAATCTAGCCACAAGTATAAAACATGTTTTCTTTAGTCAAATTTACTTGTAGGTTTATATATTAGTTCCAAAACTAACTCATTGAGATAATTTTAAATTGTACAGTCTCTATCAATACTATTTTACTAAATGAGAACCATTCATGTTAATAGTGAAATTATTTTTGGATGTGGCATCTAACTTATTTCAGACATGTATTCAAACAGAGAGTACTTATATTTGCATACTTCTTACAATCACCAGTGTAGTTCCTATCTTTTTTCTGTAAATGTCTTTTGAACAGATTATACTCATATACATAAAATCAGCAATTTAAAAATATACAAAAATTCAATGGCCAATGTCAAGTGCTTAACATAGTCCCTTATAAGTAGTAGAAGCCTAAAAAATTATATTCCCTTTCTTCTATTGTCTTTCAGCACTTATAGATTGAACCAATATTTAATGAGCTTTTTATGTATTTGCAAGAAAATAGAAGGGCAGGTTTTTCCTATTATAGTGAACATGGATTAATTCTTGGGGAATGACAACACTTCTTATGAAAGTAAATATTTGTCATAATAGAAAGCTTTTCTTACATTTCTCGTCCATTTCCAGACATTTTGTATCCTCCAAAGGGGGATTGCGTACCTCCTCCACCATAGCAATTTACCCTGAGGATGGGTGGAAAAAAAGAAATGAAGTATATATCCTATGAAGCAACTTCTAATTGGATAATTTGGAAATCAAGAAAACTTTTTTAAGAACTTCATTTATTTTAATGTAATACATTCATTGAAATTTTTAAAATGCATTGTAAAATAGGATGCAGAAAGTACATAAATATATATGTTTAAACACACAGTACCTAGAAACAAATAAAATATATATGTGCATAGTCATTTGGGTAGTTCATCATGACCCTGAGAAGTGGTAGTTTTTTATAAAGGATAAAATAGCCAATAGGGAAGAAAAAGAGGAATATGGTTTGCTAGAAACTGGAATATGTTGTATGGGTTTTCTTTATTGCCTATATTGAATAAGCTTTTATATAATTTTGAAGTTTATATTCTTATACTAAAATCAATTTTCTTTTACAATTGCATTGTGTATCAAAATAACCAGTTCATTTCTTTTCATTCCTTGGTTAAATGATTTGCTTAAAGACAGGATTTTCCAAAATTTGGATTTAATGATGAGTTTAAGAACTCAATTCATTAAAGATGCCGGTTTCAAGAAATATTATTACAAAAATGTATGCAGAGTTAAGAAAAAAGTATGTTAGAAGACCAAGACAAAGGGAAGTAGTTAGAACATAGTTTTATAGGCAGTGAACAATTTGTTTATCTTTGAATTTCCTGCTGGCCAAAGTTAACAGCTAAAGCTAATTACCTACATGATTATCATTACATACAAATGGCCAAAAAAAAAAAAATTAAAAGAGAAAAAATTCTGATTTAAAACTTTTCCTTCTATGCTGTTATAATAGGTAGACAAAAAAGTGACCTCCAAATAAACTAATTGTATTGTATTTGAATGATTTGCTTTGGTTTTGAAATAACATTCAGATGTTTTCTCAGTTAAAACACTATCCGAATTCCCAGGGTTTCCGTATGTGCACTGGGCCACAGGGTTCTTTTCTACGTCTCATACTGAAGGGATAGTTTCTTATGAAATTTCTACTCTTAAGAGAATGTGTGTTTCTCTGCTTTGTTTAATTGCTCTTTAAACTGAAAAATCAGGTCTCTACTTTGAAATTATTGGGAAAATTCCAGCAACTTTGGAATTCAACAGTTGTCTGCTAAATACTAAGCAGCTATTAGGTCTGAGACAATGCCAGAATATAATTATGCTCTAGGATAAAAGTATTAAGAATATGTCCCCTTTGTTGTAATACTACAGAAATTCCTGACAGGATACCAAGCCACTCAGTTGGATGTTATCAGAACAAGCTTTTTTTGCTTGTTTGTTTTTGTAGGCTATTTTTTCTTTCTGGTACCGGGTATTGAACTCAGGACCTTGCGCTTGCAAGGCAGGCGCCGGAACCACTGAGCTAAATCCCTGGCCCTGTTTGTTTGTTTTAATGAAGCATTCATGTAATAATCTTTAACTCCAAAATAAAAGACCCAAAGCTTACCATTGTTAAAGTGTGCAGAAAATAAGTTTGCTATTTTGACTCCACACTGAATGTGAAACTATTTTAGTATAAGTTAGCAGAAAATCGAGAAAGAGTCACTTAGAGAAAATTTTGAATTCAACATTCTATTTAGCCTCTCTAGCATGAGTTTCCTCAACTGTAAAGTAGAGATGATAATACTCAATAGGGTTGTTCCTAGGCCTATGTAAGACGTGTTTCTTGAAGTATTTGGCACACAGCTAAATATTAGTAAATGAAACTAATATGCATGTAAGCAATGGTAATATGAAATATTAAGAATAATTTAATAATAGGAAAATTTTACATTAATTACTGGTCATATTAAGGGTATGAAAAATTTGATAGATTTTATTTGAGTTTCCAAAATAAAACATTCCATGATAAAAAGAATCAGTGATCCTTAGTGTTAGCTGAACATTATTAGCATCATATGAAGTTTAAAAGAGTACTCTATATAAAATATACATGTCCAGACTCAAACATAGGGACAGATCATACTTGGTGTGTTTGCTTACATCCTCCCCTGCTCCCAATCAGTTTATTCATATTTAAACTCTCAATTAGTACATGTTGGTTATTTTTTATCCCAAATATTTGAGACCAGAAGTGTTTCAGACTTTGGAGTATTTTAGATTTTGGAATATTTGCATAAAATTTACAGGTAGAGTATACCTACTTCAAAAATTCATACTTCAAAATTCTCCCAAACTCCAAAAGCTTTGGAGTATTACATTGCTTCATTGGAAGAGCATTTTGGATTTTGGATTTTGGATTTGAGATGAGGAATACTCAACCCGTATTAATATAGAGCCATGGTTTAGAGCTGTTTACACTTTGACATATGTTTGACTCTTGGGGCAACCCATTTTCTGGTTCCCCTTTTGTGTCTCTTAGACAGAAGCTTTCTTTCTCTCAATAAATTTTTCCTACTCTTAATCTCTGTTGTTCCTAGAATTCATTCTTTGATTTTAGAGAACACAAACTCACATTTCGGATATCTAGTAGGTTTGGGAGTTACATCTCTTCTCCTGTATCATTTTGGAGATTTTCCACCCAGATTACTGGTCGGAGGTAAGAGTTTGCTTTTGTTCAATAGGTTATAACTTTGGTCTTTTTCCTTCATAGATTGTAAATTTTGTTTCATAGTTTTTGGTTTTTGTTTCATAAATTCTGGCCTTTGATTTGACTTTTGTTTCAAAAGTGTCTTAATTTTAAGTTGCGTATTTTAAATGTTTGCAAATTTCTATTTTTGCTTATGCATTGTCTTTTGTTAAAATTACATTTTATTCTTGTTTTGTATGTGTTGCATTTGGACTTAGTTGCTTCAAAATGTTGTAAAATTGATCTCTTATAAAATTGTCTCAGACAAAAACAGTTCAGACTTTTATCTGTCCCTTACAGAATGTCAAATAGTGGTTATTCTGCCAGCTAGTAATTGCCTCTAGGGCAGCTGCCACTGTCAAAGCAGAGGACAGGTTTCTCTAGTTGCCCTCTGGTGAATCCCCACCCCACTGACACCAATGGTGGGTGGAATATTGACCAGATAGGCAATTGGGTTCCTTTTGGAGACAGATCTCTGATTGCATGGAACTAGCAGAAACTGAGGTGACAACTGAGGGGCCATGGCCAGGGCTACCCTCTGACAGATACCCAGAGGTCCCTCGCAAGCAACTAGCTCCCGAGAGCCCATCTGGGTAATCAGCAGAAAATGTCCACATCTTGTCCCTATCTGGACTCCTCAGTGAGGTGAAAGGGGAACTCTGTCAGTGATCATCAGTTGTCCTCTGTCTCAGAGTGATCTGAAATGATGCCATCAGAGCCCTTTTTAAACCTCCATTAAGAGTTGAGCTACAGGTTTGGACTGCTTTCTCTGCTACTAGTAAGACAGACCTGTAGACAAATGTAAAAAAAAAAAATCTGCTAGAAGAAAAACTACCTGAACTTTCTCTCCCCTTCTGGTCATGGTCTTCATCATTTAGGTGCGTAGGAGAAAAATACCTTTTCCAATAGGTTATGGACTTTGGAATGTTGACTGTGGACTTATAAAATGCTATATGATGAATTTTGGATGTTTAACCAGCTTGAGCTTTATTTGGACTTTTTCTCTGTGCTAGTGAGTTAAAAACTCCCCTGAAAATTTGCTCCAACTTGTTGGGAGTTCATTTCAGAATCCCTAGTAGTCAGAGCGCTCCTCCTTCCAGAAAGTCAGACTAAGACAAACTCATAACAACTGTTTTGTCTTACACTAGGGAAAATAACAATCAGTAACTTCCATTTGTGTTTTTACATGCTAACTAGAATATGGGACTATCTTAGCCAGCCTTTCTCTCCGTTCATGCATGCATAGGAAGCCAGTAAGAGCGCCTTTACTATGTAGAATGTGGCTGCTAGGAGGACCTGTGAGTTTAAATACTTAGTGAATTACCTTCATTTATCACTGGGCCATATAGAAAACTGGTGTAGGTTTAATCCTGAAACTCTCAAAAGGTAAATGTAAAAGATTTAGTTCTGCTTTATCTGTCTTTTAGCCCTAGGTAAAATTAGAGAATGGTAAGAACAGCTAACCTGGCTCTGGCCACTTCCTTGCACCTCTAGTCAGCTGTCACCAGCACTGGACAAGATAAAGTCTAAGGGACACCTTAGATTGGGCACAGAACAAGAGAGCTGGACAGAGATACCTTCTTTCCTGTTGTTTCTTTTCAAAATGGGAAAAACTGTCCTAGGTAGACATGTGCAGCACAGCAGGTTGGAGCCTTGGCAGGCCTTCTTCCCTCACTGCTTGAAATTCATACTCAGCTCCAAAGAGGGTCAGCTACTCTCTTCTACATGCAAACCTGGCCTGAGCAGACCCCACTGGAGATAGTTACAATTACCATTAATAGTCTGTCCCTTTAGAGGGAACAATTTCATGTGGCTATCCAACAACTGTAGTTATCAAAGCAACAGTGAGAAGACTGTACAGCTGGGTATTCCAGTCAGATAAACTTGTCAGCTTTGGGACCCTCTTAAAACTGTTTTTGCTTTCAAAGGTGTAGAAGATTTTTAATCCTTTTGATTCTTATTACAAGAGATCTCTGTTAATTGATCTACAAAGTTCTGACTAGTCTTATTTATAGTTATAAACCTAAAAAATTATAAAAGTTAGTATAATTCAACTTGGCCAAATACATCTGAGTGCACTCTGGTTTACAAACAAGTTGTCTTATGTGTGTGTCTGTCTGTTCAATTTATTACAACATCTACAGCTGTTATGTTTGAGCTTTTTTCTTTTGGCATTTTGGATTTTTAAGATGTTTGCCTGTAACTTAATTTGGCTCATGGATAAATGTAATTAAAGACATGGTTCCATCAGGATACCAGATGATCCAAATAATGTCAACCAGTTTTAGAAATACAGTACATATTGTTGTCTATGTATAACTTGGGAATCTTTCATTGGTCAAAATAATGTGTTAATTGTTATGATCTGGCTTTCACAGGTCATCTAAAATTTGTTACGATAATTAAAGACTCTTGGGTTTAGGAAAACTATGGGACAAGACTCCCCTTGGTAAATAAAGGAGTGGGTGTCTGGAAAAAGTTTATTCCAGGCTTTGTTCACAAAGGGGACCCCAATAATTTCCATAGCCTTGTGGGAAATACATCATTAAACATATAATTGTGATAGGTATGCATTGTCATGGGCTAAGTTTTCTGTGGAAAAACAATGAGGTTGTATTTAAAATGTTCTGGGTACAAAACAAAATTAAATGACAAGGGCTTTCATATAACTGATATTCATTGTTATTTCATGTTGTACTAAATATCATTAATGTCTTTTGGGTGTACAGGTCTTCTAAGATATTGTTTATGGTAAAGATCTTTTTTGATTCAGGTATTTGCCTCTCTCTTACACTCCAGCTACTTGTGATCAGAGGTATATGTTAAGCCAGCATGAGAAAACCAGTCAAACAGTAGTTATCTTAAAAACTTATGTGATGTATGCTATATGTGTCACCATGCTTAGGAATGCTCAGTCACCAAACAGTTGAAACAATGTCACACTAAAATTAGAGTCTAGACATTGTGAACTCCTAAAATACATTTATAGGCCACTATGTATGTTCTCTTTAGTTGGCATCCTACTAAAGGATAACAAATAACAGTGTTATTGTCTTGAGAGTGTTAATAAGAGTGTTAATGTCTTGAGATCAGATGAAGGTGTTTGACTGAAAGACTGTTCCGTACTAAGATAGACATGTAAGTGTTACAAAGACAACATCATCACGATTGTCATGCTAAAATACTATGTGTGGCTCTTGATCTTAAGTTTCTGTATAATACATAACTGTTGTCTGTTAACATTCTACAGGGATTCAACTACTAAAACAACCATGGCTGGTAAAAAATAACAGCCCTCTAACTGTGCTTTATACTTCAAATGTGTTTCATGTCTTAACTATTATAATAGTTAAGCTCACTGCTCCTACTGAAATATTTATCTCACTGATCTTCTCTTCTGGTTGTTCAACAACTAAAGTTTGGTGACCAAAACTAGAAAGGTAACTGGGTTATGAGGACAGCCAATATTTTGTCCCTGGCCCCTCAAGGTCAACAAAGCATCCGGGACATGAGGGAACCTTTTCTACAGGGTCCTACATCTTTGGTAAGTCACTCAATCTCCTGAGCAGGGAGATTGCTGGGCACCGGAGGACAAATGTACTGTGTGCCAAAGGAGGGTCACCAAGAGGGAAAAATCTCCCATGCTTTTACTGAAAGTAACATGGTCAAGCAAGGCCATGACCCATCCTGAGGGCTGACACTGACAGAGGAGCTGAAAGGATCTATGCATGGTTCCAAAACAATGCCTGAGGAGACTTAACTGACCTTGATAGAAATCAAGAGGTTCATACTGATTGACACAGGTCTCATTTAAACTTGGTCTTAAATACTCAGCAGAAAAGAATAACCAAAAGGGATATAAAACAATGCCATAGTAATAAAGCTAGATATAAAAAGGGGCTTCAGTCACTGGCCTCTTCTGGCAGTTTCTAGCTACACCAGTGGATGACCACAGTTACGGATCATTAGCAAAATCTATGGTAAAATCTATAAGAGCCAGCTGGTTACAATGACTATTTCAATTTCTAAGTGTCACTTTCTTCCCAAACTGCCCTTCCGTTCTAGTGTACTTAGATTATACATGCTCTAATTTCTTAAAAGTTTTGTTTATTCTTGCCTAGAGGCTGCCAAACTCCAAGCAGTCATACAAATGGAACCAATGATAAACGTGCTAGAATTCTTCTACTGGGATCCACCAGATCGACCTTGTAAAGGACTCATAACTACTAAACTATACAATAGGACTTCTATGTTGGATTCTGAAGTCCCCTGGAGCTTATTATCTTCTTTGTGGGAGGCTATTTCTAGTTCATCCCAATGGAAACACTTGTTGCCTATATTCATAGCAACCCTGCTGATCTTATAATTTGGTCCATGTATTAACTGATTCTTTGGCTTTGTCTCCTCCAGACTCAAAGCTAAATGGCTACCAAGATGACAATGTCTGGTACCTATCAAGGGCCTTTAGTTAGACTCTCTGGAGAGGAATTCTAACTGCTGATCACCACTATGACCCTTTTCAGCTGGATGTAGCCATAACAGTCTTCACCCTTTGCCCCTTCACAGCAGTTAGGGGTACTTCCTCATTGTGGGGAATATTACACATAGGTAATTTAATTAGATATCTTGTAGGCAGTTAGACAGGGCCAACCCAGGAGGAGCCAACATGGAGGACAGTCAAGGAGCCAACAGGGAGGACAATCAAGAGACATTCACTGAAACCCAGAATTGTAAAAGCACACCCTTGTACTTCCCCTGGGGATAAATAGCAGTGATTGATATTCTAAATAGGTATCAATCACCTGGGTGGGGGTCAAGGTCTTAACCCAGCCTCTCCAGGAAATATCCCTGACCCTCACCCTTACTGAAAATCCTTGTATGCTTGCTATGTGGCTTGCTCCCCAATTTGACCCCATTTATTCAATATTACCTGGGTGACTGTACTTATAATCTTATTAGTTGGTCATGGTTTTGTCCCACCTCATGCCCACCTTGTAAATTTCCATTGAGTCTTAGAATTTTGTCCAACTTTGTACCTGCCTCTGCCTCACCACATGGCTTTGCTGTATAAAACACCTTTGAAACATGGGGTGGGTGGGCAACCCAATTTCTGGTCCCCCTTCTGTGTCTCTTAGACAGAAGCTTTCTTTCTCTCAATAAATTTTTCCTACTCAAAAAAAAAAACGAAGTATGTTTGACTATCTGTTCTGCTATTTACTGTGTGGTGCTGATAAAATTACTCAACCTCATTAAACTCTGATCTTTTTATTGATAATTCCAAGATAACAAATCATTGTAAGGTAAAATAAGATGATGAATGCAAAAAAATACAATGCATGCCACGTAGAGTGCCACATGCTTGTAATACTAGCACTCAGGAGGCTGAGGAAGGAGGGTCCCAGCTTGCAGTTTGAGACCAGCTTGGACTAGATATTAAGACCCTATCTTAAACAAATAAACAATATAGTGGGCTTAGAGTAAATGTTAACTCAATGATGATGCCTCTTGGTCTAGGAAAAAACATTTAGAGCTATTAACAGAGATACTTTTTGTGGTCTATATTTCTTTTTGAACTGGAATATATGTGAGAAAGAAAATAATTTTGTGCTGTCGCCAGGACTGAGGGAACAAAGGGAGGTTTTCCATAACAAAAAGTAATGAGAAAGCAGACCAGGGACTGGGTACTGGGCAGAGGAGGCAACAGTTTGAGAGGCAGAGCCTTAGAATTTACATCTTCTACATTCAACTATGGAAGAAAGAAAAAAGTTCAAAGATAAAGGAAGTGTTCCAAAAAATCCAGTGCATTCTCCTAAATTATGATCTTTAGACATCTCTAATGATTCTAGAGTAAGAATCTGAAATAAGAATTAAATGTTTGCATGGGTACCAAATAAGCACTGTCTCAACTAATTTAAAACTACTTAAAACACAAATTTTTCTTTTCTTTTCTTTGTACACTGTATAGTGCTAGAAACTATGTAGTAATACTTATATTGTGTAAGTCAAACATCCATATAATACTTTGGCTAATAGTCTCAAAGTGCTGGAAAGAGTTAAATAAATTATTCCTCTAAAGTTTTTCCAATATAGCAATTGGGGGTTTTGTTTGTGTGGGAAGGGGTTGTTTTTGTTTTTGTCTTTTTCTACTTCTCTAGCAGGCCATGCAATTCTAAATTTTAAAGTTTGAGTTAATTTGTTGATATAGCTAACACTGAAAAGGCATGGATTACAGCCAATCATTTGACTTACCACACTGTCCCCGCCTGCAGAGCAGAGGAGACTGTCACTGCTTTGTCAAGGTCTTTGGTAAAGATTCCTGCTGCTAAGCCATAGGTCGTATTGTTTGCTCTCTTGATCACTTCATCTAAAGTTTTAAACTTCATGATTTGTTGCACTGGTCCAAATATCTATACCCCAAGGATGAGTGAAATAAAAAAATAGGTTAAAATCAAATATTTTAAAGATAATGTAGTTTAATTTTTTGTTTACACACTACTCTGAAATAGGTAATATTTTGTTTCTTATCTTGGTTCTGTGTGTACAAACCAAAAGAACTTAACACAAATAAAATGGAAAACACAGTAGAAATTGACAGATTCCTAGATACATATGAATTACCAAAGTTGAGCAAAGAAGATATAAAAATCCTAAACACCCCAATTTCAATCAGTGAAATTGAAAAGATAATTAAAAATTTACCAACAAAGAAAATCCCAAGTCCTGATGGCTTCACTGTTGAATTCTACAACAAATTCAGGGAAGAGCTAATGCCACTACTTCTCAAATTCTTTAAAGAAATTGAAAGGAAAGCAATACTCCCAAATTCATTCCCAGAGGCAAGCATTACTTTGATTCCACAAGCAGTTAAAGACCCAAACAAAAAAGAAAACTACAGGCCAATCACCCTAATGAACATAGATTCAAAAATCCTCAATAAGATACTGGCAAACAGAATATAGAAAATCATCAAGGAGAGCATAAACCCTGACCAAGTGAAATTCATTCTAGGGATGTAAGGATGATTCAACATATGTAAACCAATAAATGTAAAGCACTATATCAACAGAGCCAAGGACAAAAACCATATGATCATCTCAATAGATGCAGAAAAAGCATTCCACAAAATACAACATGCATTCATGATAAAAACTCTACAGAAAATTGTAATAGATCATCTCTATCTCAACCTGATAAAAGCCATCTATGAAAAGCCAACAGCCAATATCATGCTAAATGGTCAAAAACTGAAATCCTTCACACTAAAATCAGGAATAAGACAAGGATGTCCACTATCACCACTCCTATTCAATATAGTTTTGGAAACATTAGCCACAGCAATTAGCAAAGAGAAAGAAATAAAAAGAATAAAGACAGGAAATGAAAAAATTAAATTGTCATTATTTGCAGATGACATGATACTCTATATAGAAGACCCCAAGAACTCCATCAAAAGTCTTCTAGGCTTAATAACCAAATTCAGTAATGTAGCAGGATACAAGGTTAACATACAAAAATCAGTAACTGTCCCGTACACAAACAACAGACTCACTGAATGGGGAACTGGAGACACAAATCCCTTCACAATACCATTCGAAAAAAAAAAAAGAAATATTTAAGAATCATCCTAATGAAAGTAATCAAAGACCTCTACTCTGAGAACTATATACTCAGAAAAAAGAGATTGAAGAGGATATCAGAAAATGGAAAGACATCCCTTGCTCCTGGGTAGGAAGAAGCAATATAGTGAAAATGGCCATACTTCCAAAACTGCTATATAGATTCAATGCAATCCCAATTCAAATTCCAACAGCATACTTCACAGACCTTGATAAGGCAATCCAAAAATTCATTTGGAACCAGAAGAGAAATAGAATAGCAAAAGCAATTCTAAGCAACAAAGACAAGGTAGGGGAGGTATCACAATCCCCAACTTGAAACTATGCTACAAAGCTACTGTGATAAAAACAGCATGGTACTGTCAAAGAAACAGACCCAAGGACCAAGAAACAGATTAGAAGATGCAGAACCAACTCCAGACACAGTCAGCCAGCCACTTCATCTTTGACAAAGGAGCCAAACACCCTCACTGGAAGAAAGATAGCCTGTTTAATAAATGGTGTTGGAGATATTGGGTTTCAACTTGCCAAAGATTAAAACTAGACCTATATCTCTCACCATGCACTAAACTAAAATTGAAATGGATTAAAGATCTAAATATTAAAACAAAAATGCTGAACCGGCTGGAAGAGAGATCACATAGAACTCTTGAAAATATTGGTGTAGGAAACAATTTCATGAAAAAAACCTCAGTTGCATCTGCACTGCGAGAGAAATCACCAACAGCATGAAGGGACAGCCCACAATGTGTGAAAAGAATTTTACCAGATGTTTCTCAAAGGTCTACTTTCTAGAATATATAAAACAGTTAAAAAAAACAGACCTCCCAAATCTAAAGATCCAGTCCAAAACTGGGCATCTGATATGAAAAGACATTCCTCAGACCAAGAAATAGCAATAGCAAATAAACCTATGAAAAAATGTCCAACATCACTGGTCATTCAAGAGATGCTAATGAAAACAACACTGAGATTCTACCTCACCACAGTAAGAATGGCCATTATCACGAAATCAACCAATAACAAACGCTGGCATAACTGTGGTGAAAAGCAATCCTATTCTACTGTGTTTGGAGTGTAGAGTGGTGCAACCACTGTGGAAATTTGTATGGCGATACTTCAAAAACTATGATTAGATGTCCTATTTGATCCAGCTATTCACCTACTGGCTATCTTCGCAAAAGAATTCAAAGAATCATACCACAGCGATATATGTGCACCCATGTTCATAGCAGCACAGTTGGTAATAGCTAAAACTTGGAAACAGCCCAATTGCCCATCAAATGGAGACTAGATAAAGAAAATGCGTGCTTTTGTTTTTACAAAATGGAGTACTACTGAGCCATAAAGATTGATAAATTAGAGACATTTATAGCTAAATGAATGCACATTAGGTGATACTCAAGTGAAATAAATAGGGCAGGGATATGTAAATACTGAATAGTTTCTCTGGTGTGAGAAACTCAAAGTGTAAATAAGGATCAAAAGGCATAATAATGTGAAATAGGAAGAAAATGTCCAAAGGGGAAGGGGAATTGGGAGGAGTTAGGGAAAAGAGAGAAGGGAATGGAATTAATATGAGAAAAGGAAAAAATGGAAACAAAGTCTATATAAATAGGGAGGGATGGAGGGGTTGAAGGGAGGGCTGGGGAATGGGAAAAAAAAATAAGAAACAAGATATATTATATAAAGGTCCAAATTTCCAGTGGAGAATGTCATTATATTGCATACCTAAAATGTCCCAAGAAAATTAATAAAATTTTCTCTTTGGATCGGAGTAGAGTACAAATAAATAAAACAGTGTTTATTTTCTAGATGGCATTAAGCTTCTGAGCACTTACAATTGAACATCAAATCACTAATTTGAGAATTTCTTTAGAAACATTTTAAATTTTCTCTCTAGTTTTTTTCATCTTCCAAGTTACTACATATAAGAGTGAGTCCAAAAAGCAATGCTTGCTCTATTGGATAAATGAATAGATAATAGTTCATAATAATATTCTTCTTTTAAATATCACTGTGTCATTGACTGAAATATCAAGTATTCTACTGTACTTGGATCTTTTCATAATTAGCCCAGTTAGGTAAAACAATATAGATTTTTATTCAGGATTGTATTTTGTCATCAGATTCTACTCTGTAACTTACATATGCTAAACAGAGTGGCTGATTTCTCCAGGAACATAAGTCCTGAACACCTCGTACTAACCAAAAGATGAGTTCATGGCAATGGTTATAATCACAGGACTGGACATCAAAATCACAATTTGTTTTTTCCAGTCTAACTCACTCATCACTTTTACTAGACTCAGCATAGCCCAAACTGAACTCATTTTGTGTTTCAGTCTCAGTAAGGAAACAATTGATTTTCTCTTAAAAATAAACATCAAAATTTCAAACATACATTAACTGAAATGAAATGAAGGAGGGCTCCTCTGAGTGCTACCAGAATTTCCTGGGATATGTGACTCAGAATAGGCAAAACTCTCAAATGTCAAATGGCTTTTTGGTGTTTACCACTGATTTACAAAGCAGAGGGTCAGGGGCTATGGTTCAGGAGAGTCTGAATGTGAGACCAAAGTTTTAAATCTAATCACCACATTGTGACCTCGGAATAAGGCAGCCATTGCAATATATGTGCTCATATTTTACATAATTTTAACCTAACATAGTATATAGCTTCAGGCTGCCACTTTGAAGAAGTGAGCTAGCTATTCTACTACATTTATCATAGGAACACAGCATATCTTCTCCTTGATAGAAGAATATTCCAGTAGACATTTCTATCTGATATTAATCAAGACATGCAAGAATGACAGCTGTGATCAGACAAGATTTTATCAATAAATACAAAAATTATAATTCAGTGGATTTGAAGTGGAAAAACTAAGTATGTTTGATCATCCGTACACACTGGCTTTTATTTTCTGTTTTTCCAATTTATTTCATTTGTTTGCAAGTCTGACTAAAGGCTTTTCTACTTTGTTTCAAGATAATTTGTGTGGTATAGAAAATAACCTCAGATTCTCTGTCATAGCACGGACATGAAGGAGAAATGACTGAAGGGATTATGCTTCAGTACCTTTGAGCTATCAACGTCTTTTTATTGCCGTGTGTGACCCAGCAATTTCATTGTCAAAGGCGGTGCACCTATCTCTGCACTACTAAAAACCCTCACTGTGTATGAAGGAGATTATTTACCATTTCTAAATGCAAACTAGCTCTTCCTTGTTTTTGTGTCATATGCCTGGATAACATTTTGTTGACGTTATTAGTTCATGCTCATCAAATATTTAACTATAGTATGCAACATGTTGTACAGTATAGCTATGTATATTAACCATATAAGTATATATGTTGTATGTAATACTATAAGTACTCATCTGTTACATATTTCCCAATTTTCATGTGCTCTTGACTCCAGATTTTTTCAGGTGTTAGACTTCTTAATTTTGTGTGTAGTAGTTAAATGTGTGTCTATCTATTAATCTATCTATCTATATACTTATAGTTTTGAAAGTAAAGCATATTGTTACTGTGAGCACATATGAATCTTTCACACAAATTATATATATATATATATATAAAAAACATATGTAAAGAATACCCTATTTTTATACTTGTGTACAAAGTTACGAATCCTCACCATGGAAAATTATGGGCCATAGTCATATAAGGGGAATGAAGTGGTATAGGAATGTTATTTTCAAATGTGTGGATGGCTTTTATGCACAAAAAAGCCAAAAAGCAAATATGGCACCAATAGGCAGGATTTAAGCATTTATCTATTTTGGTGAGGGGAACGTATGGTACTATAGTCATCCTATTGTATAATAGATCTCTCAAATGATCTCCTCCTGTATGAGAGACACTTTGTGTCCTTTGACCAGCATCTCTCTGATCCTTATCCCCACCTCCCCACAAAGCCACTGCTAACCTCCATTTCACTCTCTGCCTTCTATGAGTTTGAGTCTTTCAGATTCTACCAACAGTTGAGAATTATTCACTATTTGTCTTTCTGTGCCTGACGCCCATCACTGAACATGTCCTCCAGGCTGATTCGTGTTACCACAAATGACAGGGTTTTTTTCCATGACTTCACAGCTGTGAAGCAAATCCCCAAAGATTGTTGAGCACCCAAGCCTGTGTTCGGCTGGAAATTCTTGGCAGGACCAGTGGATCCCTTGCTATTTTTTACTCTTAGTCCTATATAATTTAAACCTTCATCAGTAGCAGAAACAAAGGGTAACGTTTGCTGAGAAAGATGTTCAAGAGCTGATAATAGTAAGGGGGCAGATAGGACTCATAGGTAGAGAGAAAACACAGGGAAACAAAGACAGCAGAGAGGAATGAGCCTTTACCTCCTCTTTGGCAATGCGCATCTCATCTGTCACATTGGAGAAAACTGTGGGCTGGATGAAGTAGCCTTTGTTCCCCCAGGGGCCTCCGCCCAATTCCAGTTTGGCCCCTTGTTTCTTCCCACTCTCAATGAGGTCGAGTATTTTATCATACTGCTCCTTGTCAATCTGTTTAAAATATCATGTGAAAAGGAATAAATACCAATTAGCCACTTACAAAGTTAATGCATTCCTGGGTCCGTTAATGAGGTCTAAATAGTCTAGGACATTGCTATTGAATTTAAAACTGAACCAAAACAGCTGGCAGAGGTTCAGAATCATTTTCAGGATACATTTATTTCTAATACATTTTCAGGAAAGTACTTTTGGTATTTATACTTACTACCTACGGTTTTGTAAGTAAAGCGTATTGGTACTGTGAGCATTTATGAACCTTTCACATAAATGTCATTTATTCACTCCAGATGAAAAGTTAGTTTAGGATATTACACATTTACTGGGATACTGTAGTCCTAACTGAAATAAAGGGAGTGAAGGCAGAAAAGAGAGCTTGACTTTGACTTCATTGCACATGGCAGTTGGGAAGCTGATGCTTTTTCTTTCTGGGAAGACTCCTATACTGCATCTGTTTGGATCTTCCAATTCCTGATTGGTCCTGTCTGGCCTGGTGCCTGCCCTTGCAGACCACATTCTGGCCACAGTCTGGGCTCCTCCCCAGCTCTGTAGGTTGGATTCAATTTCTGGTCAGCCCCAGTTGTTATTTTCCTGTTGTGTTAAATGGGTCACAAGTTAGTATATGGCAAGTATTATAGAAGTGAATATTTAAAAAAATAATAATACATCTAAAAGGGGGAAAGAGTTCAGATTGGGAATATCAAGAGCACATACCTCTCCCCCATGCATGGCTGTTATCTCATTTTGCGTATTTACAGGTTGAATGATTGAGTGGCTCTTGGGCTCACATCACTGGTAAAGACTGCCTATCCCAAGTGCGGTGGAGCTAAGCATTAAAGGAAAAGCAAGAGATCCAGGAACACCATGCAAGAGAGTTGGGCTAGTGATAACGAATTTAGGGACACATTCAATGTTGCCTGATTAGTTTTATCTCACCACAAATACAAACTTTCTTCAAAAAGTCTCAGATTAACCAGGGATAAATTTGGCTTTCATTTTGGACTGCAGTCACTGTTCAGTAATGCTTCCATGAACCAGGGGCTCTTTACTTTGAGATGAGTCATTGGCTCACTGGCTGGTCTACAAAATGTAACAGGTCGTGACAGTTATAATCATCTCAGAGTTTATCGTTTAGTCAGTTTGAATGTGTAAATTTTCTGATTCCTTAAGTTTGATGGATTGAAAAAAATAAATTGAAAAAAATCATACACATATCCCTCAAATTATTTGGAAACTACACATGAACAAGAGCAATGGGAGTAGATATATAAAGTCAATAACATACGTATACATGACACACTTACACACACATATATATGTACATAATCATCACCAAGGTATAAATATAGGCATGTAATGTTCATTTCCTTAATAGACATTTGATCATACACAGTACTCTGCAGCAAGCACTCTGATAAATGCATTACATAGATGATCTCTTTTTAGTGCAGTGATCTCTTCCATTTGTAGATGGGGAAATAGAATCTGAGTAAACTTCAATATATATATAATTATATATATATATATATATATATATATGGACTCCAACAGATACTTTAAGATTGTATTCTTCAAAATG